AAATATAAATGATATATATTACCTATTAACTATGTATTTTTTGTCTAACACAAAATATACTAAAAGTGTTTAATTACCTTTTATCAATACATATGTGAATATGCTGGCAATGTAGACAGTATAAGGTAGGTATTATATGATTTATCAAGTAATTATTAATTACTTCGTTTAATTTCATTTTCTCTGGATGTTTGCCAGCAGCCAGGGAATATGCATAACATTTGTGGCACGCTACAAATTTGTGAAATCCGCTTTGCTGTGCACTAACTTACACGTATCTGGTTCATTGGATTTCTGGCAATTTTTCATACGCCGTAATGTAAGTTTCGCGTGGTTCAAGCCAAACCTGATTTTGGAATGAGGCCATTTGCGATAGCGACAGCTGATGCTGTTCATAAAGTGCTTAGCCAGTGTACCTGCTTCTGATCGATGCCCAGGTTTTAGCATTTTGCCCATCTTTTCTGCACGTTTGTATTTACTAAAACAGCTATGTCAATTTTTTGAGCCGTTCTGTCCTTGCGATTCAGCAGTAATATGTGGATGTGTGACAGATAACAGCACAGTCGGTGACTAGGGGTTATAGGGTAGTCGTAATAGACCATGCATTGGTCGTCCCGAAGCACGCCCACTGGACGGTGTGGACAACACGGTTTCTTGTCTGTGATGAAGCCTCTTTCAAATGCTAGTTATTCGAATAACTCTTTGTAATGCTGTTGGGCGGTTTCATTTGTTAGCCAAAGCGGTGTAACATGCGACCGTATATCGGATCGATTCCGCCATTCTGCCCACACATCCTGCATTTATCCGAGATACTTTCCTTTGGATTTTACTAAACTTCGTAAGCACCACTTCATGATGCATTGCCAACGCAAATTCTGTTTTCGGGAAAAGTCGTCAATCTCGACGTCAAGAAAGCGACTTTCTCATGTCTGTTTCATGTTACGTAAGGGCAGCCGAGTAACGCCCACATAAAACTTTCTTACACCGTCATCAAGTCTGAATGTTGCGCTTCATTCTGTAGTTGCTGATCGTTCTCAGCTTTTGCGGTGTACATTCTTTGTTTGCTCCTGCAATGGCTCTAGGTCAGGTACATCCTTGTCAAAAACTAG